ATTGCTAAACCTTAATCCAGATTGAGTTTCCTCCCATTGTCTGGAAATCACATGGGTGCAGTCAGACGGGCACAGCTGTTTAACCTGAGCTGGGGCCATAGAATCGATAGTGAGCTCCCTGGATTTACACCCCTGAGGTGCTGATCTAGGCATTCTGGTTGTTTTTTTACTACATTTCCTCCTTCTTAGAATTATGCGATTTATAATCCAACAGTAACCACAGAACCACAGTAGGAGATCATGTGCTCAAGCTAGAGCTAACGTCCTATCAGCCAACACAATGTCCTCCGCCACATTATTATTATTATTATTATTATTTGTGATGAACTGAGCCTCGTCACGTGTTCTTGGAGGGGCCTGATGGCCAGACTCTTACCACAAGATTATGGGCCCTTTAAAAAAACTATGTGAGCAGACTTCGTTCGTGAGATTTTATATTTGGTTCGGGAACCAACAGCCGCACGAACCTAAGACCACCCTGGAGCTTGTTAAGCCTGATTGCTACTTTGTAGCAATTTCCACCACAGTGTTCTAAGTGCTCGTCTGGGTGGCCACTATTCCTATGGACGACCACGAGGTGGTGGCCATATTGTTCCCGGGAACGCAGGGAGCAGTGTTTGGGCATGAATCTCATGGAACTGAAAACGGACACAGAAATTCCCGAACACCTCTGGACTTCCAGCATCGTCTGTGTTCGGTTCTACAAGATTTATAAAGGCGCTGTTCGGTGCAAACATTCCCCTGAACAAGGGGATCAGAGTAAGACTATTGACTCTGCTCAGTAGTTTGTTCGTTTTTAAACTACCGAACTAGACCGACCGCAAGCCCTGATTCTCTGGAACTTTTTTGGGCATGGGACCATGTGGGCTGTCAGTCAAATTATGATTTTCAGGAAATTCCTGAACCCCATAACTGATCTGGGTGATTTTTGGATATGTTGTACACCCAGATCAGGGCTATCAGAGGATGTAACTTTTGTGGGGGCTTTGTGTGTTTTAAGGTATTTTTGTAAAAAATTATGTTTTCTATGCCTGGAGATAATTGAGTTTAGTACAGTGCTGACTCAATTATCTCCCAGGCATAGGGGAGGGATTTACCTATTTTGTATGGGAGTGTCCTGGACCTGAGAGCCAATGTAATTGTGTATATTTTTTTACTCTCAGGTCCAGGAGGGAGTGGCCCTTGCATGTGGACATGCATATAAGGCAGTTGTGGCTGCCATTAAAGATATTTGCTTTACCGTTCATGAAGTCTAGGCTCATGTTTGGGGGATTGGAGAGCTATATTCCCTCTGGGGATTGCTATAATCACTATACTCCCTTGTATCACAATGATTGCTCTTGTAAGAGCAGCCAGCTTCACTCTTTGGACTAGGAGAAGTCTACCCACTGGAAGCTAGATCCTGGTCTTGTGTCCAGTGAGGGTGGATGGCAGCGAGACCCTAACCAAGCTGCGGTGGTTATGGTGTCTGGTGCGGTGCTTATGGTACTCAAGGATTACTAGGAAGCAGTGATTAATGGAGGTATCCAGTCGGGGTGCCAGGCAGTCCATCACAATTATTATAATTATTATTATTGCCATTTACATAACACCAACTCATTCCGCAGCACTTTACAATATTATAACGCTAAAACAAGCAGAATATGGCGAAAACAAGGCAGGATGAATGGCATAGTACCCCATAATAAGAGCCTACAAGAAAAATAGAGTGCTGACCTTTGTTTCCAACAGAAGCAATTTGGATCACTCAAGGCCATGTATATTTGGTGGGATGAGGAGGGCATATCATATCTGGAGATATGCATGGCACTATTAATAGGGCCTACTTTCCATTTTCCCATTCAGCACAATACTGCTGGCTCCTGATTGATGGGGTCATTTCTCGTTTTACATTAAATAGCTTCTGCTGCCAATTTCCAGCTATAGTGACCTCCTTCACGTTAATGGATGTTTCGAGAGATGTAATAGAATCATCTGTCTATTGACACTCACCAGTGCTTAGCACAAGGCCATTAATTTAAACAGCAGCTATTCATATAAACAATATATTTCCGCAATGTTAGGATATCCCACCTCCGCAATGTTAGGATATCCCACCTTGGGGAGGTTTGAGGCCCAGTGTTACAGTCCACATGTATTACATTCTGCTTAGTAATAGTAGTGATCTACGTATTGTAACATCTGCCGTGGTAATGTGTGATGGGCTATGATTCTAACCTACCTTTAATGGTACGTCATGTGTTTATGGAAGTCTCCGTTACAGGCCGTTTTCATATGAGCCAGGCTTAGATATTCTTTTCAGTTTTTGTATTTTTTTTTTTAACCTAAAATTATGTAATCGTTGTCAATTCTCTGCAATTCTGGGCACACAGTGGCAAAAAGCATGAGATGGCAAGTAGATTAATAATTGAAAACAATTTATAAACAATAAATTCTTAAACCTTGTGTTTCTTTAAACCTTAATGTTAGGGCTTATCAAATAATGCTCCCATTTGGTGTGTGTAAACTTTAATGTAACAGTTTATCAAATAATGCTCCCATTTGGTGTGTGTGTGGTATGTCAATGCAAAAATCAGCCTTTTTGTATCTCTCATTTCAGCAGACATTTATATGAACACATTTGATAAATTTACCGTATTCCTCTGGTAGACCCATCCACTTATGAACTGGAAAGTGATCTTGGTGGTTTAAAGATCAATTTAAACATAATGAAGTATGATAGCTTGTTATTCAATAGCTAAACTTGCATATATAATCAAATCAAAATAAATCTTACGTTTCAAAGTAAACAGTGTTCCATCTCATAGCATATAATAACTGTTTGATACTTGTATATTTAGTGGAGTGAAACGTGATATATACACAAATCCTCAGTATGTGAAACAGTAGCAGCGGACAAGCACTGCTAACAGACTCTTTCAGATTGCCAGGCATACATGCTAACTTATTTTCCACACGCTTTGATCATGTATGTAGAAAACATGTCAGAGACAGGAAGTTAGGGCTATAGACATTTAAAAGTAACACATCCCCGACGAGCCACATCTCCCACCTGCAGGACGAGGCTTTTATCAGGAACATTGACCTGCAGATAGAGTAATCCCATACATAATTATTGAAGACTATTGTTGAATCTAATAAGCTCTCACCACTAGCTCTCCTGTATTTATAAATGTGCTATTTGCCCGTTTGTTGACCTGTTCGATTAAATAACTATGTTAAGGTTTCTATTGCTGTAGCTCAGTGCTTTTATCTTTCTCATCTGATACCAATTGCAAATCATGTAATTTTCATATAGGATGGGAGAGATAAATTAATCATATGATATAGAAAATGGCAGACATTTCTCATATAACCTAGGAGCTGGAGAAAAGTTATCAAAAACTATTTCATAATATCAGATTGATAGTTTCCTAGATAATTTTGATATTTAATTTACTGGCCTACTTTACTGTGCATAACATCAGTGCCTGGGTCTTAAATCCTATCTTTTGGAAGAATAAAAAGTTGTCAACTATTGAGGAGCCTTCACTAAATACAGTCCTAGTGATAGGAACTAGTGAAAAGCATACACTGGGCTAAGTGATAATCCTAGGACCTAGTGAGGAATCCACACTAGGCTCAGTCCTAAAAACTAATGAGGAGCTAAATCCAAGGAACTAAGGAAGAACCTACACTGAGCTAAATCCTAATCCTAGAAACTAGTGAGGAGCCTACACTGGGTTCAGTTCTAATCCTAGGAACTAAGGAAGAACCTACACTGGGCTCAGTCCTATTCCTAGGAACGAAGGAACTGGGCTCAGTCGTAGGAACTAATGAGGAGCCTATGCTGTGCTCATTCCTAATCCTAGGAACTAAGGAAGAGCCTACACTGGGCTTAATCCTAATCCTAGGAACTAAGGAACTGGGCTCAGTCCTAGGAACTAACGAGGAGCCTACGCTTGACTCAGTCCTAATCCTAGAAACTAAGGAAGAAGCTACACTGGGCTCAGTCCTATTCCTAGGAATTAAGGAACTGGGCTCAGTCGTAGAAACTAATGAGGAGCATACGCTGTGCTCATTCCTAATCCTAGGAAGTAAGGAAGAGCCTACACTGGGCTTAATCCTAATCCTAGGAACAAAAGAATTGGGCTCAGTCCTCGGGACTAACGAGGAGCCTACGCTGGACTCAGTCCTAATACTAGGAAGTAAGGAAGAACCTACACTGGGCTCAGTCCTATTCCTAGGAACTAAGGAACTGGGCTCAGTCGTAGGAACTAATGAGGAGCCTACACTGTGCTCAGTCCTAATCCTAGGAACTAAGGAAAAGCCTACACTGGGCTTAATCCTAATCCTAGGAACTAAGGAAGTTGGCTCAGTCCTAGGAAATAACGAGGAGCCTATGCTGGACTCAGTCCTAATCCTAGGAACTGTCAGGATTACAGAATGATCCAGCACGTAGAATTGTGTAACACAGAGGACTGATAGGTAACATATACCGGACCTTTGAATGGCCGGACTAACGTACCAAAGAATAGTCAGGAATAGCCGGGGTCAAGGGAAACAGAAAGAGACACAATGATAAGGAAAAGCAAGGAGTCAGGGATGTCAGAAAACAGGGAAGTCAAAAACAATGCCAAAGTCAAATAACAAGATTCAATAACGCGCTCTCAGACAACCACAAGGGAAACCACGACAGGGCACTGAGCAGGATGAGAACTGGTCCTAAATACCCCTCCTCTAGATCTGATAGGCTGTAACTGGCCTTTGACCCCAAAGGCAGTTACCAGGTTCCCATTTGTATAATTGCTGCTCAGCATTAACCCTTCTGTGGATTTGGTTGCTGCTCGGCACAACTTTTCATGTGTGGACAGTAAATGCCATTAACCACATTTTTATAAGCGGATGAATACGTGACAGGAACTAAGGAAGAGCCTACACTGGGCTTAATCCTAATCCTAGGAACTAAGGCACTGGGCTCAGTCCTAGGAACTAGAGGAGCCTACACTGGACTCAGTCCTAATCCTAGGAACTAAGGAAGAACCTACACTGGGCTAAATCCTAATCCTAGGAAATAGTGAGGAACCTACACTGGGCTCAGTGAAAGGAACTTGTGAGGAGAACATACTGGTCTTAGTTCTAATCCTAGGAACTAATGATGAACCCTCACTGGGCTTAGTCCTAATCCTTGGAACTAGTGAGGAGTTTACACTGGGCTCACTCCAAATCCTGGAAACTAACGAGGAACTTACCCTGGGGTCAGTCCTAATCCTAGGAACTAGTGAGAAACCTACACAGGGCCAAATTCTAATCAAATAGTCAGGAATAGTAAGAAATTTACGATGGGCTCAGTGAAAGGAACTAGTGAGGAGAATATACTGGGCTCAGTTCTAATTCGATGAACTAAAAAGGAACCCTCACTGGGCTTAGTCCTAATCCTTGGAACTAGTGAGGAACCTACTGCCAAGCTGTCAGATTTTATCAGCAAGACACCGCTAGGATCCAACTATCCTCTTCACCAGATCATTATTTCAAAAATTCTGATTACTTTGCCAGTTCTGTTTGTTCTTAATTTTTGCAACTCTGTATTAATTGCCTTGCCCATCTATCACCTAGCACTTTTGGAATAATAAGTGTTGGATCATTTACCCTTCCTTATTATCATTATTATATTTAACTAAACAAGTGTACAATGGATATATCATGGGGATTTTTGCATGCCGGGCAGGTGTTTATTAAAAAAGAAAAAAAAAATGCAATGTTAACAATCATGACAAGGGATGATAATTTGTTTTAAAAAAACAACTTTGGTGAAGACCTTATACTTGTGTGCCCGAGAAATAGCTGATTGCAGTCTTTTCTTTTTTATCCAATTCAAAGTATACCTGATTTAATTTTACCGAACATTAATTCTCATTCTTTTAAAGTTATCTGCTCTTATCTGATATGTTACGTGTAAAATATAATCGACATATAGCAACATGTATTCTGATTATAATATATATTATTTTGTTCCGAGTTATCAGATTTCAGTAAAATAGTTATTAATCACTCATCATGCCATTGTCATGGGTCACAGTGGGTTTCCTTTTAAGGTAAGGAAGTGGCTGGAATTTAAAGGCAGTCACAAAGGATCATGGGTTATTGGGGTCAGAATGTATTAAGGATAACAGCAGTGTTTGAAGCTGGCGCAACAATAAAAATTATATAAAGCATTTCTGTGGAACCACAGAAAAAAAATATGGAGGGATTTTCTTGTAAATCTTTACAAATTACAATTATTTATCAGTCAAATTATTGAAGATCTTGAATTCTAAGATTTAGAACTGGTCTCCATTGAAACTATGTCATATTATGCAATCTTACAATAGCGGATACAGGACAGTTTCAAGTCAGTCTTGGGGAAAATAAGTGACCAGCAACCCTGTGTGTAGAAGGGGCCTAGTAGCAAAATGAAGGGATCTTTGCTGTATTTAGACAGTGAGTGCTGTGATATGACTCATATCTGGTGTATTCTGAGTATAGTGCTCAATAAATCAGATTTTGTATCACCTAGAGACATTGCTTAGAGACACCTAGAGACATCAGCTCAGAAAGTGCTGCAGAAAATGGGACAAGTATAACAGAAGATGACTCCACTAGCCTTATGATATACTCGAGTTGATGTGCGTAGGTAGAGGGTAACTGTGTATGGGCATAAAACCTTTACCATTGATAAGCCCACCACTTATTCCCAAAATGAACCACAGCAGACTTGCTTTGGAGTAAATAGGCCACAGTTTTATTATAAATATATAAATATTAAAACTTCAACTTAACACAAGCACTATATACTTATTTACTCAGTAAATAGATACGTCACTGAGTACCACCTTGCAAACCAAACATAACTTAGCGCAGCTGCCCCTCCCCCTCGTTCCAACCAGTACATGGCCTTTTCTTGGGCCTTCCATTTCATAATGCTAACCATTAGCCACTTATTGGCTCAGTGGGCACCTCCGTTATCTATGTACCTATCTATCTGTACCTGAGGTTAGGGGAGGGACAGCCCTACCCATCCACTTTCCACTGGTCCAACTCCTGGTTGACAAGGGCTATATACCGCCACAAGACCCGCTAGTTTAGCCCCTAAATCAGCGTGGCCGCCCCAGCACTAAAGCCATGGTCTCCTCCAGTGCAAACTGCAATGCTAAATTAAACAGATCCAGTTCAACCTCCGTCAGGTGGACCCCATCACTCTTAAAATAAATTGCTGTGATATGCTCAAAATGCGGTGATGCACCATGAGCCCCCCCATTCCCTTCACAAACCCGCTTATTAAGTTTGATTCTGTTCCGTTCAAGAGCCCTGGGGTCTCTTGCCCCCCTCCAATAGTTCTGATATAGCACCTTGGACCACACCAGATACACCCTCGGGAATCTGAGCTAGAGCTCAGCCAACTCTTTCTGGATCATCTTCCCCAGGTCCCACACCGGAATAGTGCCAAGATCGCCCCCCACCAGCATGAATAAGGATAACATCAGGAACACCGAACAGGCCAGATAAATGGACCAATCCCGGCAACAGGTGCTCCCACCACTTCCACAGCTGGCGACATGCCCACGTGTAGTCACCCGGGACATACTGCAGCCTGCTGTTGCTCCCAATGTATATACGAATGGCCGATGACCACTTTCCGGCACCTACAACGACAAAAGGGGAAATAGAATCAGTCCAGTTGGACGCACATATGATTGGAACCTCCCAGATTTCCATCTTCCAATCCTTTGGATAACTTCCTCAGTCAACCCCAGGCGAGATGCCTCAGTGGCAGCCCCTATTCAAAAGGAGTGCCCCCCAAACTCTGCACTAAGTAGCCCCAAAATCTTCAAAGCCATTGCAAAAAACCCTAATATATTGGAACCGGGATAAGAAACTGGCATCCCCGTGAAACAACAAAGGACTCAGGCCTGCTGGGCGTACCTTCCAGAAAGCATGAAGACATGCCAATAGACAGACCATAGAGCCAGGGATGCAACGTAATGTGACCCACATACCTCGTCCTAGAATGTCCATCTTGGACTTCCAAATCAAAAACCTCACTGCATCTGCTTTGCCAAAGACATCGCCAAATAACAAACCCACAGGGACCGATTTGGATGGGCTCATGAGCTCGCCCACCCGCATGGCCCCGAAAAAGGCGAAGGAGAACGCCAACTGAAATAACACCACCTCGAATGGGAGAAACAAACCTGCGGCAGAACTGTAAACAAGCCCACCATAAGAGCACCTGAATCCAGCCACTGAGAATCCGAAAGCTTGGGCCCCTTACGCCATCCTCTCATAACCAATGAAACCAGAACATCCTTTGTGATGTCCGAAACCCTGGTGAGCTTCAACCAAAAGCTCAGCTCAGACAACTTCCCAGACACAGCTGAGGAGGAACATCCCAAGGCTTCCCAGAACCAAATTAGCTGTAACAAACCTTGCAAACACTCACTATCTGACCAAAAACCACCAAGTTGCCTCTTAAATTCTACCCACTCACTCCATGCCTTACCATAACACTGCCAAGTAGACTCCGGGACTGAACCCCGAATCCAAGACATAATTCGTCAGCCCAAGGCTCACAGGTCCTCTGGGCATGGAAAACCCACCTCGTCCACCCCAGTGCCGCAGCCCTGAATTCCCGCCACTGATGATGAGAAAGAGGATCCGCTGTAACATTAGCAACCCCAGACACATGCACAGCCCTACAATACGCATTCAGAACCAAACAGCGCAGCACCAGGAGCCACAGAAGACGAACCACTGGAGAGGAGAAAGCAGACAAATTGTTGATGGCCTGCACAACCCCCATATTATCCCAGTGGAAGATGACCCTACGATCCCTGATCAGATCACCCCAGATCTCCACTGCCACCACGATAGGAAAAAGCTCCTAGAAAGCAAGGTTCCTAGTCAACCCCGCTGAATGCCAAGACTCCGGCCAAGATTCGGCACACCAGTGGGCCCCAAAGATGGCCCCGAAACCCAATGCACTTGCGGCGCCGGTGAACAGATGGAGCTCAGCATTTTAACACCAGGCGCCTGCCAATACGACTTACCATTAAACCCGTCCAAGAAGACGGACCAAACCGACAGATTCTCGCGCAATGGGCGAGTGATAAGCATAATGATGAGGGCAGTCCACCAGCGCGGTCTCCGCTGCCAAGCAGCGATTAAACAC